TGTACAGTACATAAAAAATACGAGGCATGATTTGCATTCGTAAGGAGACAGGTAACACGTTGCTAAGCGACCACACATGGCTAAATGTGCGGTAGGTGGATAATTAATTTGTTCTTCGACGTAACTCTCCCGTGTTATTAAACGAATTGTTATCTCAGATGGTGATCAAACATGACAGGTTAATAGGTTGACCTCTTGTTACGCGTTGGACTATAGAACGCCTATGAAAACCGTTCATAAATATTTATTTCCTGAAATTTTGATTATTTAGGCTCAGATCTTCACGTGTTTTCATTTTTCATAGCACACTTACAGTGAGTGAGCATCTTCCACATGCGATTCTAATTATGTTGGTCGTCTGTAGGTGGCCGTCTCTGATATGACCCAACGCATGTTTTAACTTCTGCTGCATAATTTGCAGCGATATAACATTCAAACCAAGCAATTACTCTTTCTCTTTTGAAGATAAATAGCATCTCTTTATTCTTACACTTTATAAACAAAAACCTGCGTCCAAATAAATTAAGCACACATGTTGTCTTTAAAACTCGATACAACAGTAATTTTTAGTCCAAATGTCCTGGAAGCTATGACATTCTGTCGCTTTCGGTTTCTTTAACATTGACATATTTCGTGTATATATTGTTAAAAAAATCACTTACTTCATTTGAGAAGGCTCACTGCTTTAAACTAATGCACTAAAAGGATGTCAACATTTTATGAAACTGAAACATTTTAGATATTATTAATAATGACGAAAAAGAAATATAGAAATAAATATCAATTGGCTATGCAAAGCAGTTTATTTCCGAACACATGGAGTTTGTGCTGTTCCCTTAGAATAAGAATTAATGTTTCACACGGATATAAAAAAAATGTCAAAATGCTTGTTCTGTGTATCCTCATGAAACCTTGTAAAATGAAAATGCAATACTGGATGAATGAACTTTTATAGAACGTTATATTCCAGGAAAACTTACTACCATTCAGTTCAGTTCTTCCATTCTCCGATCTCAATTCTTTACTAAGATGCAGAAATCTGTAAAAATATCCGTGGGTTTTATCTGTGTGTAGTTCGTGCCAATAAAGAACGACGTGGGTCGAGGTTGTGTAACAGCAAATAGATTATAAAACTGTCCGGAACTAGATAACACCTAATCCGAGATAATGGAAAGAAATACAAAATAAGGAGCATTTTAATAAATACTGTTTACTAGATTTTAGGGCTAATTAACCATGTACAGGAGAAAATTCAGAACGCAAAATGCAATTACACATACATAATAAGTTTCCATCGGAAGCGCGTATGAGAATAGTTCGGATACTCAGGCCACATGGAAGGATAATTTTAAATAACTAGGGCGTGGAGATGTCGACTAGATTCAGCTGGCTCAGGTCAGAAGCCAAAGATGGATTCCGTGAACAGAGTAATGAATCTTCTGGTTGAATTAACTTACACATGTACGTTCCAATACATACTTAATGTCACAATATTACTGTCGTGTTTAAGCAAGAAGGGCAGCGAAAATGTTTTGTTACGCCACGCCGAGAGACGCAGGATTACTTTGTGATAAGATTGGAGGGTGACACAGGCGTAGCAAACATTGGATTGATGATAAATGCATACAACAATTTTTGTCGAAGGACGGGAAGAAAGAGACATAGACGCAGGTATGAGGTAACGCTAGTTTAGGCTTTAAACTAATAGAATGTGTAAAGATGGGTTAAGACTCATCTGGGTCAGAATGTAGCGGCTGTCTGGCGAACTATAGTGAGCACATTAATACATCTTTGGCTACCATAGCGAGTTGACAATTCCTTATCAAATAAGCGACTATTAGATTACGAAGAACAAATCTGCTCTTCGAGGTTACGCTAAGCTATAAACAGTAAAGAAATCTTATCAAATATAAATCTTTAACCGTTCATTATAAACAATTCACTTACATACTAGATTCGTTATTTTATGTTTAAGTCCACATTCTCGTATGAAAGAAGATGACCAAATAATTAAACTAATCGAATTAAGCTTTTCCAAAAAGGTTTACAGTTTTGTAATTAAATAATTACACAAAATAAATAAGCTTGTAGGACACCCAATCGCTCACGACTTTCTAATCGCCCTATAATGTGCCCGTTCCGCTCACGAACGTAATAGGTCCCATTATAAGCAATATTTCTCGTCTGCATGTTCGTAGCTTATGTAGCTGGTTTTTATTTGAAGCATAAATGGTGTATGGGACAATAGGCAATTTCAGAATTTCTGGTGATTCTACCTCACGTTCATTCCTGATTAGGAAATAGATAACGGGAGGGGGGCTTTTACACCACTATTAAAAAAAATTATATTGTTCGAGCACTAACAGACATTTAATATATTATTAGGAGTATATGTTTTGGTTATTTTCTGTTCTAATAATTTTCTAATGTCTCGTCAGTCCAATTTAACGCGTCGTATGCACAACAAACTAACTGATGCATTACCTAATTGATAAACGAACTCTATGAAGCAGATGTCTTCTTCAGCAACTGACAGTTGCTCACCTAGTAATGAAATTCCTCTCCTTTTATTTAACCAGTGGTCCATAGTGGCCGCGCGGTCTGAGGCGTGGGCCTTGTGCCGCATGGTCACTGGGACCTTGGGTTCGAATCCCACTCAAGCCACGGATGTTTGTCCAAGGAGTCCTACCGAATGTCCATAGATCAAGCCAACGAAAAGTTGGGACCGGCAGTGCTCAGGCACTTGAAGAACGGGTCGTTCCCAGTATCCCATTATACCAGTTATTTAACCAAAAGGTTCGTTGTCGTGTTTAAAAGAACCTGCCATCAGTCGCTGTTCTGAGCTAGATGAAACCAAACAACTCCGCCAACGCCCTACTTCCCTGACTCCGAGTAAACTGGCCCTTGAACAATTGTAACTATGTGAAGGACGTGGAAATACTTGTACCATGTAGGTACGCCTACGATATAACATAAAAATTTATTAAATACTCAGAATACGAGCATAAAGATTCAATTAGGCCCTTTAGTAAAGTTAACTTTGCAATTAATTAAAAATATAAAGTGTGCATGACAGGACATCAGATGGAAAGCAGCAGGATTCGAATCTGCGATTACTGTCAGGAAGGCCCAATACGTACGCGTCTTACACCCACTGCCCAGGTTGACTGTTAGCCGCTCGCATATCAAACCCATTAAACAACCGTAGTGCTATAGACGACAAAGTCTGTGGCAAGGCACCAAATTCTTGCAATGCAGTGGTCTCAATAAGTCGCATGTCGTGGAATGAGCCATTCGTAGTCGTCACGTGTCACCTTGGATTCGCTGCTCGCTTTCCATCCACTCACTTCCAACACACGTTGCAGCCCCAAATCTGTCCTGATGCACAGCACAGATTGAACAAGCGTGCAGCAAAGTCATTGTAACTTGTTTACCTCAAGGTCTATGACTCCCTTTTGTACTTCGTCTCCAACTACACTGACTGTAATGTGTGGGAATAAAACACGTCGCGAAAATTACGTTTCCTTATAAATTTCTAAAAGTGTTTAACGATGGCTGTAATGGGTTTGGATTATGTGGAATAAATCGGTGGAAATCTACTTTAAAGAAGTCTCCTGCAACAGCATTCGATCTCCAAAACCACATTTTACTGGCCAGGATTACACGTTTTTGCATGCCTAGCGTTGTTCGCCATTGTCCTATCAGTAGGCTAAATGGAAAGACCTACAACCGTAGATTGGGCGTTTCGAGCCATTCGTAAAATGCCTACGAGTTTTACACTACTTGAAACTGTCAATATTAAGGTGTTCATTCAAACCCTACAAAAACAAATTTTCATCTACTTAAAAACATAATATAAAACTTACAAGCACATGCAGTTTTTTTATAGTTACTGCTAATGAACACATAAAAAAACCAATGTAAAAGTTTCGTCATCTTAAAATGGAACCTAAAAACATAATTTATAAAGAAATTAATTAAAGATAGCATTTGAAAAGTTACAAATATAAGAATTCATGAGTAATAAAACTTACATTAATGCCACTTGAAAGGTTAGGTTTCCAAAGCTTGTTGACACTATCCACATGCCAGGTGGCCACGATTACTACTGACTAGTCGGAAGTTCTCACGGCGATGCGCTGGCACTACGCAATCCAAAACAACCGTTTATTCTTATCTACTTGTTTGCTTAGTTCAAAATGAGTTTTAAAAATGTGTATATTAGAGTTCAGATTTCGACTACGACCTATTTACTAAATTATATGGGTTCGAGAATAGCATATACTTGGTAAAGAAGTACCGATATGGTATTATTGTTTATAACAGCAATCTTGATGCTACGAATCATTTAATTATTTTTCTGTCCCTAAAACGGCAAACACTTAAATACACGGAATCTAGATCAACATTTTCTATTGTCTTACTGGTTTAAATGTTAGTCTAACACACTAATGGAAGTGTCTGAAACTGAGAACAGAGTGCAGGCTTCTTTCGGCGGTCCACAAATAATTGAATTTTACGCGGCCCTTTTAATTTATCAGGGAAATTTCATAAGAACAAACTTCTTGTTTTTGATTATCTTAGTATTTTTATGATACCTACAGTTAGATTACTGAGCGCTCGTTCAGGAAACAAGAAATATATACGTAATTTTGAGAGGATATATCTTTGTAAATGAAACTTAGAAAACCAAGACAGAGATGATAAAATTGACCTTGCAGAAGAGAATTATCTCTAACATTTGTGCTGTACTATACTGGAGAACGGAAGGCGTGGAGGTAAATAACGCTGCATTTATTTCGTCGATTTAAATGGAAATTGGTGGTCAGTTGGTGGACTGAATTAAATTTTATCAGGATCAAAAGTAATGGAAAGACTTATAAAGCATGGACCACAGACAGAACTATATACCACTCTTGCTGTACTGCTGAAATGAGGCAAGCGTAGCGAGGGCACCCTAGTCAGAGATGGCGATCGGTCTCATTATCGCTGCTGTGGTGGTACAGCACCCAGCCCACTCGATAGCTCTATACCTGGGGCTAGAAGCGGCCACACTGGATACACCCTCACAAACTTGTTGTGACGCTGTATCAACTCCATTGGTTATATGGAGTCTATTGGCTGATGAGGGGTGCAAACTTAAAAATCAAGAGGGCACAGGTAAGAGTCCTTCTTCTACATCTGACAGTACCTCAGATAGTCTAGAAATTCTACAAATTTTACTTTGTTTTCGGCAACTCGTTCATTCATAATTAAATATCTGTTTCTTGCAGCGCACTGAATTACTGTGTCACTGTTATTTAAAGTGTTCTGGAGTTGTTTGCATTGTTATAAAGCTTATTAGAGACGCATTTAAAATATTAGTGTAATGAGCATTAGGTAAGTGTATATTAAAGATGTGTGATATGAGAAATAAACAATATAATTGTAATTTTTACACACCTGAAGATGGTTCATATAAGAACCGAAACATGTAATGAGAAAGTGATGTTCCAAATGTAAATCGAATGTTTCGATAAGGAGCATCACATGGTATTTTAACTATCTTAATTTTAAATTTTAAATTGTGATTAGACGGACAAAATTAATTAAATATAATTAATTAATTAAATTCTTAAATATAGTTTATTTTAAGAGAGATCCTGGAGAAAGCTAATGCTTTACCTTCTTCTATAGGCGTATGAAGCTGAAATTATCATAGTAACAATATGGGTAAAAACTGGCATTGACATTAATATTTAATTCTTTCTTCATCTAGGGACATTGATTCTGGATCAAAGCTTAAAAGTTGAAAGGGCATTGAATGCAAAAGTAAATGACCACTCAGAAATACAGACGGACCATCAGACAGACAGGCGAGGTAGATAAAACGAATATACACAATAGGTGAAGCAATCTTCGAGTTGGAAAATCGTGATGGCAGGTGTAGCACGAGATCGGTCGAGATCGACGAGAAAGATGCCGACCATGGGTGCCAGTGGTTCAGCTACCTGTACCAGGCCGTACCAGTCCTGGGGAGCATTTGGGGGCTGGAACCTGGCACCCACAGGTGTTAAATCTCTAACCAGATATGTGCTCTGCTCTCAACACGTGTGCTCAAGAAGGCGGTGGAGACAAGGTAAAACAAATTGTTAAAATGCACCAACCTTATGATACCTTTCTAAGATTCATTTGCTTTGACAGGCAGAACCACAAAGCAAGCATTTAATTTTTAAGCGGTTTCTTCTTTCTTAGGCGCTTTCACAACACGTAATTTAGTTACTTGCCCGTATGTTGCATTTCACGAACCGAAAGTCGATCAAAGAATCTCATTACAATTTTATATAAGGGAGTTTAATTAAAACCTTTTGATATTTTTGAATTTCCGTTAAAATCGGACGACAGCAGACACTTTACAACGTATTTTAAAACAAATAACAATTAGACTAGGCAGGTTGGTATGCCAAGAGATAGAAACAGTTTGTAGCTTGAAATTCCCGCCCTCTGCTGCTGCATCATTTCTTCACTCTCTTGTAATCAAGTATATACTATGTACTGAAGTATGACGGGTCCTTTCTCTTGTTGCAGCAACCAAGTCTCTGTGGGACTTATTAACAGTCTGTCGCCCCCTAAACCGTCTCCGTCTTGTTAGAAGAACTCTGTGATGGTCATGGAATATCAAGAGCTGCTGAACTCAGATACCAACTTACAGCAATATATTTCTCGCCTCTTACTAAATGACATGCTCCTTTACGTATTATTTAATAATCATTGTTCATCGTTTTTTGTTTTGTACGTATCCTATTTTACGTGAAGTTAGATGCTTTATGTTGATGACCGGCCTAGTTATTTATAAAAGCTAGCTTTGTATGCCATACTCTACACACGCGCACCATGTGATTTTTTTAAAAACGATAAATGCTGCATGAGGGCGAGGGTGTCATCAAGGTAAATATGGTTTATGCTATGTTCCCAACCCACCGGACTATCCAAGAAGGTTAATAAACCACAGTATTCTCACTTAAACAGAGCAAAATTTAACTGAAAACGCTTCGAAGTGACCGATAAGCTAAGAATGCAAATGTCTTGCGTACGCAGGTTGTAACTAGCAGGGTTCATAACAACCGGTCTGTTACGTGGGCGTCATATTCGTCCCATCGTGATAAAATGTAGTGTCTCTTACAGTGTCAATGTACCAGTATTGCTGTCACTCAGGTTGCGTACGTGATAGTGCATATGTTACTAAAATGATGCAATGTTGCTTTCACTTAGTAGAACACAGGATATTAAAAATGTCTAATATACCATATATTCTACTAAATTACTCTCACCCTATCTCATTCTTGCAATAAAACTATGTTGTCTACAGTAAGGACACGCAAGTTTCTCACTGCAGAAACATGGGTTCAATTCCGGTGATTTCAGGTGATATTCGTGATGGACGAAGGGTCAATAAAGATTTCTTTCTCCGGGTTATGATCATTCCACCCCTGCTCCATACTCATGTATCACCGCCCCATGAGGTGTGCTATGGCCCAAACCAAGCAGCACCCTATCATACCCCTGGTTTTAAGTTAGGGGCTTCGTATCTGACACAGTACTTGATTTCTGTCAAATTAAAGGTAATTGGTAGATTGTAGCATAACTTGAATCAGTATGGCGTTTTGTGAACATAATTAAATTTTTAATCCAAGTGATATTTACAAATTGTTTCTAATTATAAGACAACACATCGCATCTTCACTGCGAAGTCTACCACGAAATTTACGGAAGTAATTTATATTTATTCTAAGATTCAGATAAAACAAAACACACTGTGTAGACAAAATGCCAATTCAATGAGCATTAGTCTTAAAGGAAGGATTGTGAAAGAATCGACGGTTGTCAACTTTTCCGGTCACGTCTTCCAATGGCTTCATAATCAACTTTCGATCAGAAAGCATTCATCCGTATTGGGCTACTTTTTCTGACGCTGTTTCTACTGTTATTATCCGTTGCCTGTGTTACAAATACCTTAACAAAATTAATTTTTCAGCACTGTCTAAATTCCTCAGTGCAGAACTTTGGTGACTTTACATGTGCTTCTACTCACCAAATGTCTACAGAAATAAAAAGAAAACCACCCGTTAGAGAAATTACCACAGCTACTCTCTTGATTAATATCTGTCACAGTAATTCAACTACATAACTGAAGGGCGTGTTGGTTTCTTGCACTGTGCCGAACACAACACTTTATGAATTCAGAGACAGCTTAAAATAAAACCTGTGTTCTAACAGTACAATCCTGTTGTCGTTGCAAATGATGTATTGTCTTCCAGCTATCTCCAGAGAGCGGATTTCTTTAGAAGCTAATATTGGCCAAGGAAGACACTTCCGTTTTTCTTAAGATTCGCTTTAATATTATCCTCCCATCTACACAACTTTATTTACAACGCAACATGTTTCGATACATCACACTCAGCTAATTTTTAGTATGCCAAAACTGCTCAGTGTTCTACTTCCTTAACAAGACTCATACCATCATGTATTTATTAGCTTGGACTATTTTTATTTGTAGTGTTCTGTCTATCTTCAGGTAATTCAAAGAAAATTTCACATCAACACCAGCCACTCAGGGAAGATATCTGATTTGTTTCCACAAATAAAAAATGAAGGAAACAAATAATGAAGAAAGGACAGAACAATACAGAGGTGTGTCAGTTAAAAAATATCTTCGATGTGCGATTTGAGGTTTCCATGACGGTGAAAATTTTGATTATCATTTTCTGGGCTGACACGCTGTGTAATCTTGCAAATGATTAACATCATTTCAGAAGAACTCTTCAGGGTAGAATTATAGCCCACTCTTTATATGAAGATATATTCCATCGAATAATAATAATTGATAGTAATCTACATACATACAATAGCTAATAACTCAGACGATCATAATCCATAAAATTTCGTAAGAACAGGAAATTCTTAAAGAGGTGAGTAATATACAGTGGTGACTAAACCCTGATAATGGAAGCAGTAAGCTCCTCTGAATCATTGTCAATGTCTACCCGACTACACGATGGTATACCCCAGAATAGAGTCATTTTCACGTTTAATCTATACCTTAAATGAGAGAGATCAAATTCCACACATATACAAAACAACAGGTAAATTATTTTTGCTTGATGTATTCTTCGTTGTGACGCTGTGTAGTTTTGTGCTCCGAACCTTTTATGACTATTTACAAAAATACACAGTGCCACAGCACAGTAGACCACAATCCTAATTTTAACATATGTGCAAGATTCGAAAAGTAAAATTATTTTTATATGTTCCAGTCTTTAGGTTTCTAGATAGTAAACGGAACATTTAGGTGCATGATATAATATACCTCCCATCGAAGACCAAGTACGTTTATGTCTTTTCCTGAACTAATCATCAGAAAGTTTCTCTCTCCCAACCCTTGTCGCCCGCCATTACCATGGTACGTGAGTTATGCGAGCGAGAATGACAATGCAAACAGTTATTAACGCTTTATCTAACATCTCTTCTTGTTCGCCACGGCCTCGTCCCTGCCTGGCTAGCTATTCAACGTCTCAACATTCAGACAACTCTAATGGGGGGGCCTTACCTGTCTATAATTTTAACCACAGACATGAACTTTAGCTAAAAGAAAAATAGTACAATCCATGTCAAGTACAAATTGTCCGAAAAATCTGTCGTGTTACTTGGATGAACAGTAAGAGACAGTAATTGCTTAGTTACATAGGAATGGGCCAATAACATTTTGATTAGGTCTTTTGTTGCCTAATGACGTCTCAGAAGTTATTTGATGAGTTAACTAATGCATGGAACAATAATAACTACGTAAGTAAATTTAAGAGGTGGTTTGAGGACATGTTTAGATATTACATAACTTGTGTACATGAAAAGTGTCCCTAAACGACACACTGAGACAGACACTGTAAATCGTAACGAGACACAGAGACAAGGTTCAGTAAGTAAAGATCTCTTAAAATTTACATGTAACTAAATGCAACAAAATTGTTGCATAGAGAAAAGCGATAAATGATTTTAATAAAGGCAGCAGTAAAACAAACCTAAGATCACGAATAGGATAAAGAGATGATAACAATCGGAAAATGCTTGCCAACTTTCCCTCAAAATATTTTATGTTCCCACATTTTGTCTATAAAGCTGAAAACTGAAACAGGCTTTTCAGAAGTATAATTTTACCTGTTACTCTGTACGGATGTTTAACTCGGGCTTCCATCTAAGAAGAATAAGACATTTGAGGATGTTTCAGAACGAAGTGCTTCGGACAATATCTGGACCTAAGTCAGCCGAAGAAACAAGAGGGTGCAGAATATTACGTAATGATCAGTTTCATAAGCTACGACCTACTTCTCACTAAACATTATAAGTGCGACCAATTCAAAAAGGAATATGTAGCGCGCATAAGACTGATGATTAACGCAGACACAATTTGTGTTTGGAAACCTAAACGGAAGAGAACACAGGTGATAATTAGGTGTAGATGAGAGGATAATTTTATAAACAATCTTAAATAAAAAGAGTGAGGGTGCGAGCTGGATGCAACTGGCATAGGATATGGTCCATTTGCGGGATCATGTGAACACGGTAATAATCCTTCAGTTTCCTTAAAAGGCGAGGAGTTTCTAGACCGGTTGAGCGACTACCGGCTTCCCAAGAAATACTTTGATCCACGGAGTGAGTTACGAACACTTTGTTAATCCGAGGTGTAACCACCAAACACTAGAAACGTCTTTAGGGTTATTAGAAAAGAAGTGTGTTTTACCACGACATGGATGCGACTCCGTGTTCTGTCTGGATATTGAAGATGCCTTCAGCATTAGCTCATCCTTTAAAGAAGGTTTTATGTCGCCAGAGGTTAATTACAGGGGTGAATATGTTACGAAGAATTTTTGCAGCGTGTGACAGAGCAGAGAAATTGTTTAGATAATCGAAGGTACACAACGCGCTGTAGTGTTGAATTTTACAGTAATCGCCTTGGAGTATTTACAAAATTTGACAGAGCGAATCTTATTAACTTCCGATCCTTTGCTTAATAAAAGTTCGGCTTGCAGAATCTTCGTTTTATGCTGACCTACGTTATAAAAACCATGCGTTTGTATTTGAACTTGATTTGTGTAAGAATACATGTAAAAGAAACGCTGATTCTGTGTGTAATATATATAATGGTCAAATCCCAGGTACAGCAACGTAAACCCATGAGGCAGAGTTCTATTGAGAAATGTTGCTCTTTCAAATAGCCAAGAATATTCTTCTCTATTGAAATAAATCAAAGGTTCACTACCATATTCATAAAACCCTGCTACTTAAACCTATCCTGAACCAAATGAATATAGTATACAACATCACATCATGATCTTTAAAGAAAACTACTTTAATATTATGTTCTAATTTATGCTTAGGTACCCCAATCAGTCTATACTCTTTGAGCACATACCGACTAAATATTGAGTATATTTCTCATATCTGATATCAAGTTTCGTGATTTTATTCCCTAAGATAAATGTTGGTTTTCACACCTGAAGAAAGCCAAACAAATTTCTATTTAATTATAATTTTCCCGGTCCTAATAATAATAACTACAACAATAACAATTGATAGCCTTATAACAAAAATAAATTATGCCTATACAATTCTAGAATAAAATAAGATGCTGAAAAGTAAAATAAGTAAGAAGCAAGATCCAAGAAAAGTAAACATAAAATTATGATGACAGCGGTACACTTATTTCTGAAGTAATATGTGGATTTTTGGGTCATATAACGACACTATTCAACAGCTTAGTCTACGTATCGTTAAATAGCAAGACGTTTCACGAATGATGATTTGGTACCGTACAACTTTGTGTCTTGATGATGTCCTTGACTCCGAAATATGACGTAATTTGTGCAAACTGTTCGATCAAGTCACTGCAACCTTTCTAGTCCGCAAATACATATAATTTAACATGTTACTCGTTTGTATCATTACTACGTTTCTTCTCAAACAACGGTTTTTACGTACATGACTTGGAGTTTTCAACTCCCTTCATCTTTAATCATTGAGGATTAATATACACCGGCACTTGCCATGAGTGAAAATTTATAATATTTTCGTCGACAGAATGAAAAAGTAGATTTCAAGATAATTCCCTCCTTTCATTAATAAAATGCACAATTTTCTTGCCAATCTGTTGTAAGTAATCTAGTTCTGCCGCCATGTTACTTAGATCAAATAAAGTTACGTGCTGGGATTCACATGATTGTTTCACACTACTGGAATCGGTATTACTGTCATTTA